TGTGCGCAGTCGCGGGGGAATCAGCAGGCGACCTCGTCTAAAGATGATGTGGTTATGATAGACTTGGACGAGTTGCCATCACCTACAAAGCCAATGCAAGAACCATTTTCACATCAGACGCACCAATCGCATTCAAACAATGACTTGTTTAGGATGGCTCGCAATGCGTTCCCCAATATTTCTCCTGGATTCATTGACTTGCTCTTAAAACAAGGGAACGCACAGGGTTCCCAGGCTCTGAATGTTCATGGTCACCAGGCAAGCCCTCAAGAAAGCACCCAGGCTGTAGACACTGAAGGTGAATCAACTGACGAGAAGGTTGCTAGTGCGGATAACATTCCGTCGAATAACGCGAGTGCCGCTGAAAATTCCACGTTGAGAACACTACTGGCTAAGAGCCCAACAGAGGTGCAAACTTCAAGCACCCCTCCCATAGAGGAGGAGGTTTCAACCGCTTCGAATCAACCTAGCGATTCAGTTCAAGAGGAGAAAAACTGATGTACAATCATCACCCACCCCTCTCGTGGTACAAGTGTTGACAACTGATCCGGATCAACTTTACCCATCCCTCCCACGGTAAAAGCACTCCACAGCAGTCGTTTTCCCTCAGGGGGAGAGTGGTAAAGATTGAACGAGGTCCAAAGAGAAATCTAGAGGCTGACCTTTTGCGGTGCGGTACGGATGTTACAAGTTGAAACAAACTTAAAAACAGAAAACATTTTTTTGGACTATTCAACGTGGAATAGTTTAGAACCTTGGACGGGAAGTTACTTTGTTATGGCAAGTCAGGTGATGGGTCTGTCCAGATGAACAATTTCCAGGAAATTCACTTTAATAGTTCGCCTTTTGATTAGCTAAGAAAGTTGGAAAAAAAGTATGGAAAACATTGGGTGCTTCACATGAGCTCTGCCATTCGACAGAAAAAGAGAGACATCAGGTGGAAGACTAGTAGAAATTTAAATTCCGGTAGGTTTTGTGTAGGACATTGTGAGTTACAAATCGAGGATGCCCCAATAGACTTTACTCCCAATAGCCACTGGTGCTGTTTCTGATAGTTTTCTTGATGGGTTTTCATTTATGATGCAAATTAGGTGCATGGTCTTACAGGGGACAAACATTGGAAAGAGGACAGTCCTTTGAAAACTTGTCCCTAGTCTCCTTCGCAGCCGTTATTAGGGTCGTCACGCAACGCTTTATCTCTACTTAGTTGGAAGAAGCGTTGCTTGACGTGACGACCCTAATAACGGCTGTGAAGGAGACTAACTCTTTCCAGCAGTGAATCATTTGTGCGAAAATTACTATTTTTTTTTTTTTGAGAGCCAAATTATGGAATATTGATTTCATAATAATATATGGTTACTTTGGATTAGCTAATTAATATCTTCACTTGACAACTTTGCAAGCCATTTGTTTTCTAGAAATGCACTGAGAATGGCTAAAAGTTTAGAGAATTTTATTCTAGTGTACTGAAAGCATAGCATGGTTATGTTAAAAGTATCAGAAATAATAGGAAACCAGTTGAAATTTGTCGATTTTCTACCTATTTTCCCCCACGGAAATCACTGCTTAATCAGCATAATATGAAAACCAATATTGCCGGCTTTGGTGAATACAATCTATCGAAAGGAAAATATCCTCAGGGCCGTAGCTAGTAAGAGGCAAGCCAAGGCACTTGCCTCAGTCATTGTTTTTCGTTTTTGTTGTTCTTGGTCATCGTAAACATCCTAAACACCTAGGAAGAAAATTTAACTATGGACATTGCCTCTGTCGTACTTTTGTGATGGGTATTGCCTCAGTCATAAGTTTTTTTTTTTCTCTGGCTACGGCCCTGATCCTGCAACGTAACTATCGCTGCCTGTTACTTGTTTCGTTACAGTAGCGTAGGATATGCAAAAAAATCCATCTCCGTAGGGTACTTTTCTTTTCTTGCGATAGTTTTTCACGCTGAAAGATGCGTTCCTATTTGGCACATTGCCAACTGGGATTTTTTTTTTGTCGTAACTGGGATGTTTGGGGAACTATTGTTGGCGAGTAATTCAATGTGATCAAAACAAAAGTTAATCACCCAGTGCGGGATCGAGAAGGAACTACAACTCTCTCAGTCTGGGAGCAGTCGCTCTTGGGCTCGAAAATCGGCGAGGGAAGAACGCAAACCAGAACCAGAGGTGAGCGTTGAAACCGCGAGCCGCGAGTAGTGCGGGCGTCGTAAGACGAGAAACGCGCGCGCTACACGCGGCTCGCAGCTTCGCTGCTCGCTGTTCGTTTGCGTTCTTCCCCGATTTTTGCTGCGGTTTTTCGAGGAAAAGAGAGACCGCTCGCAGTCTACTACGCTCACGGTGAATTCCTTGTGTTATGATGCGGTTAAGAAGCTTGAGTATAGCGCAGAGCTTTAGGTGAAGCTCCCCACTTTCACAGACCTCACGAAACATGTACATAGGACGATTGATGGTTGATTGCACGAAGACACAATGTTTGGTTGTGTTCAGAACATGGTTCTGCTTAGATCGCTGACCAAATTTTGTAAAGGTTACAAAAAGTATATACATACTGTATTTAAACACTTCTTAAATTCGAGATTGTACGAGATTTCACTGAATAAATACACATTTTATTATCAAAATCTATCAGTTATTGCGATTTCATGCTGCATGGCGCGAGGAGAAATTTCAGCGAAACTTCTGTTGCACGAATGAAGGCTTCCCATGTTTCACTGGCCCTTGAAAATTTCGTTTTTTTTCCTCCCTTTGCCTATTAAAAATTACCATTTTCCCCTTAAATTTTTCGTGGAAGATCCCGTTTAAGGAGCTCAGTCATGGTATTTTTGCCGCGTACAAAATTACCTTTAAAGTGAAGGAAACCTGAAATAATAGTTTACTAGGATAGAAAAACACCAAAGGGACAATAATAAACTATAAAGGAACAAGGATGGTTAAGAATAGAGAAGATTAACACGGATTACAAATGGCGAACTTGAAAAAATTAGGCTAAACTTTTCAAGATGCGCGAACCGTGACGAAGCTCTTTTCATAGTTTCCGTTGTTCCCTTAAGTTTCTCGTCGAAGCTCCCGTTGATAAAGGATTTATTATATGGCTTTCGGAGAAAATTTCTTGCGGGACACGGCGGGTAGTCCCGAGCGGGCTAGATAGCCCCATCTTGCCCGCTCGCGTAGCCAATCACTGCGCAGGATTTGATTTATCTTGCCCGCTCGTGGAGCTGGCCATATAATAATACAGCTTATAGGAGATATTCTTGTTCCCTAGGGAAATTAATCCAAAATATATGTTTTGTTTGCTTGAAACAAATGATCATATTACCTTGTACTACAAAATCCTTGAGAGGCTCTTATGGGTTAACACGTGTTTTAAAATGATTTTTATTCAAAATGAGATGGAATTGGGCTCATGTCTGGCTTTCTTTTCCTAGTTTTATGTTAATAAATCTAGACACCGATTATGGCTCCTGATCTAGAACAAAGGAAAACACAGTCAAGTTCGTTTGAAATCACTTCTCAAACTCATTAATTTATTCATAATGTTAAAACAAAGGAAATCATGACCGTGACGGTGTTTGGATATCTGATCTTAATTAGCATAGATTTTTACGATTTTATTTCTCCGTTTTCTCCTTCGTTTTGGTTTCAATTGAGAAGATATATCAAACAATGAAGACCGTGTTTGACCACATTTCCAAACACCTCGAAATTCATCAAAAATACTCCGCTACGCGTCGTATTTTCAACTCTCCTCTCGGTGTTTGGAAATGTGGTCAAACACGGTCTTTCGTGTTTGATATATTACGTAACCTATAAGATTCATTTTTAACTCCATCTTATATTGGTTCCCACGTAGGTTAGGGACAGACCAAACGTATGCAGTTCAAAGCAAAGACATACTTCCTCTTACAATATTAACAATATTAATTGCCGTAGCAAGCGCAGACTTACTGAAAATAAAATTTTCTACTCTCATATTTTAATGATTTGACAAAATGTTACCAAGTTGTCAAAAATACATATTTACAAGAAGTTCAAGATTTGAAAAGGTCGGAATGAAAAACTCTGTCCCAGCCTCCCTTAGACAATGTTCAGCGCCGATTCTTCCAAGGAAACAGTTCGCTATTCCCATGGAAAACGTTTGTTGTTTCACTTCGGCGTATTTGTCGAGCAACAGATTACGCCGCAGTACCTTATCATAAAGGTAATCGTTTGGCAAAGGTTTAATTTCTCTGTTTTATGAGAACGATGCGCTTGGCAGTTTAGCCTTCGATCAGGTGTTCTTTTTCGGGCGAACGTTCGCCCGATAATAAAGAACGTCTGATCGCATGTTAGTGACAGCGAATCAGGCTCAAGTATCTTTGCCAGCCGGCTCTTTCTTTTAAACGATTTCTTTATGCTTTCTGGTTTATTTTGACCCAACTGGGAGCAATTTTTAGCAAATTGCAAAAAAAAAAAAAAAAATGACAGCTTCATTACACCCGATTTCCTCCATAAACGTTTTTTATCATGACAAGAAGTATACTTTGTGCATTGTAAACCAAACGAGGCGTTTCTTGAAAACTTCATGGAATACACATTTGAATATAGCTTTTCTGTTGCAGTTATTTCGTTAAAGAAGAGACTGGAATTTGCATTTCCAGATGCAAGATTCTCACGCCATTAGCAGATTGCGTATAAAATTATCCGTCATATTTTCGACAATCAACTTATGGGTGTCCTGAGTAACTAAGCAACAAATTGCTCGTGCGGTCAGAGAAATGTTCATAAACATTTTGAAGCAAAGAAAAAAAAGGACGGACATTGTTTTTACGCGAGGGTCTCCTCTATGACTGAATTTATGGAGTATGCAAATATGACGGATTGCCACAAAATTACGCCAGAGGATTGCTAAGACATCTTGAAAAAAACCTTGTGAGGGATTTTCGTTTTTTGCAAACGATCTCCCGCAAGGGGCCTTTGACGTATAACTCGCATCAGTAAATTTTTGATAACTTAATTTGACAGAGCAAAGCAACCACTAAGAATAGAGCCCCAGCGAGTTGAAATTAATTTTTTTGTATGGCCAAAATCGATACCCGACAATTCGCTGGAAGCAACATCTGACAATTTTTTTTAGTAAGGACACCCGCGAAGGTCCAAGGTAACCTTAAGATCGGTGAACACACCACGACACATTGGCGATTACCTGTTCTAATAATTGGTATGCGATCATTTGTTCCATACATCTTGAAATAAGTGACTGTTTACATTTGGCGCTTTTCTGCAACATTTTGTTGGCTTTTAATTAAACCGTCGAATACATGTACAAACATCTACCCCAGGTATCTCTGTGAATGTTTCTTGTGAAAATTTTTGCGGTCTAAGAATCCTCAAGTATAGATTTGACAAACAGTTGGAATAGTCTAAAATAAAAATAAAAAATGAAAAAAAATTCTCGGTTTGCCGAGAAAATATTAGTGATTTGAACTGGAATATGCCAGCGTCTTGAAAATTCAAGATTTATTCGTAATTTTCCCAAATAAAACAAGTCATGCCCAGCTGTTTGTTTTATTTTTGTTTTAGACTAAAAGGCGGAATTATCAACTTAGAAAACCCCACGCACTGAAAAACTTGTACTTTTTATTCTTTTTCTTCGATCTATATTTTGCCTTCAAGATTTCAGAAGTAAGGTATAGAATTGAAAACTTCGTTATTTTTAGTTGCTATTTTATTCCAGGAAGAAACTAAAAAATGCAAATATTTATGAACATAGATTTTCTCGGTAATAGTCTTGAAATAGTAAGTCGAATTTTTACATAATATGCATATTTTGGAGTATGACGCCTTCCCGCATTTGAAGACAGGATTTTAATTTTACCATAATTACAATACTCTTTACAAAAGTGGATTTTCACCCCTTTTGAAATAAAAATTCGAAGGAATTATGATTACGAGAAAAAGATGGAAATTAGTTATATTCTGGTATTGAGAAATATTATTACAAACATATCAAGAATCGACAGTAATCCTACTCTATTTTGTCCCTTATCATGGTAATAGAATTATATCTCATCGGCTGTTTTTCAGTTTATCCGTAATAGCCATGCTAATCAGAAAAATTTACAGAAGAATATACATTTTTTTTTTCGTCAAACGAGATGAATTCACCTCGTCATCTTGCCTTTTTGCGTAATCGTTATTTTCGTCGTGAATATAAAGTGTTCAGAATTTTCCCCTCAATGCTCCTCGATGTCTGTCGATGAATTTCGCTTAGATACGTAATTATCTGTGAGCGTCCTCAAGTAGTCCACAATATCTTTAGGCTCTTCTTCTTCATCAATTTTCTTGAAACATTTCCGCAGAATTAGAAAAACCTCTTTACGAAGCTTTCGATTTAAAAAAACGTAAACGAGCGCGTCGAACAATGGACCAAGAAACAGCATGAACGACACAATTGTCTCTGTCAGTGTTGAAAAATATCCTTCACTGGTAAAGCTGGTTACAATGTTAAAAATCGCCAGCGGACCTCTAGAGATCATAAACGACCCAATGATCAACGTTAAGGTTAAGTTTGCTTTCAAACTTTGAAAGTTGTTGTTTGTTTGCGCTACGGAGGTGAACTCGCCGTTCTGTAAGACCTGGATTTGAATATTGCCCGGTCGGACCTGCAGCGCGCTTTTTCGAGCAGTTTGGAAACTTTTGAAGTACATTAAACACATCGTGAAGAATGTGAGGAGAAAGCTTTCCATGGCGACGAAATAATAATAAATGAAGTAGGAGCCTTTTAGATCCCAGCGGAATCGGCAGCCATTTTTCGCAGGAACGTAGTTATATTTAAGTCCTTCAAGTCCGAAGAGAGGAAACGCGGCCCAAAATAAAGAGTGTAACCAGTTGAATATAGACGCGAAAAGGACATGTCTTGCTGTGATATTTGCTGCATGACTCATCGGGTTTGCTAAGGAAAAGAATCTGTCCACTGAAATAACAGAAATGAAGGTAGCAGATGAAATTGAAAGAAAAATGGTTAAAAACCCCTGAAATTGACAAAATCCGTCGCTAAACTGCCACGACTGTTGCGAGAAAGTGACAATCGAGAATGGAATAACCAAGGCTGTCATGAAAAGCTGTGTCAATGTCAAACCAACGAGGAATAAATTGCTGACTGTTCGCATGGACGTTCTTGTTAGAATGAGGCACAGAACAGCGAAATTGCTCAAAGCCGCGACCGCATCGAGAATTGAGAACAAAGCCACGGCCACCATCTTCATATTTCGATATTCCAGCTGCTGGCGATGGCAAAAATTTTAAATCCTTTTTTTTCTGCTTGAACACACGTTTCCTTGCTTATTTTCGTCGTCTTTGCGTCATCCGCCAACAACCTCATAAGGAGTGATGAATTTGATTGAGGAGGTCGTCAAACATTTGCTTGACTGTCAAGCTTGTGTTGAGTGTTCCAGTGTTGTGCTTTGTCTGAAAGAACACAGAGATATTTTTAGCTTCTAGATTCTCCTCTTACCCCTGGTTATATTTCTTTGCTCATTTAACGCAAAGCTGATAGTCGTTTGCGCATGCGTAGAAATTCTTCAACTGTAAGGCTTGTAATCATCATTATCATTGGTTTTACTAGTATTATCGTACATACTTTCCGCACAAAAAAAAATTGAATTACAAATTTATTTACCAAAAGTCTCAAAATTCAATTTCGTGCAATACTGTTGTGTTTGCATTCACGCCGTGTAGATATGCCAAAAAAGGCCATTTGTTTACTTTGAAACCGTTCAAAAACACTCAGCTGGCCTGTGGACGTCCAAGCGGAGTTTATGTAGAATATTAAAATAGAACTTCGCTTCGATTTCCGGACACGGAAAAAATTTTAGCCAGTGCAACGTAGTCGGTTTGATGCCAAGATAACGTTTTGTGCAGAAAAAAAAAATCGTCGGCGTCCTGTCTAATTTTCGTTGTATTTTACGAGGCTCTAGATTCTTCAACAATAACGCTACATTTTAAAACCGCAAGAAATTTTGGCGAAAATCTGAAGCGAAACCTAAAAAAAAAAAGGTTTATTATTACTGTTGTTTTCCAAGTTGGGTGTAATCACTAGCCTCTCCCTAATCATAAAAACTCGAGATTGTAAAATGAAACCCGCATGAGTTTACCGTAAGTAAACCGCGACCGAATGGGCTCGTGAAATTAGACATTTCCGCCCAACAAACCCTGTTAACAGTTTAAAATCAAACAAAATAATTTGCCTTATGACGCATTTTACCTACGTATCCGCTGATAAAGTAAATGGCGTGATATTTTCCTCTGTCCTCAGTGTACATTTTCTATTTATTACAAAACCAAACTTTTCTTTCATGACGACTGACTAGCATGTGTAGCTGCTAAAGATAATCTGGAACTTTTCTTGCCTTTCTCGACTGATTTCAATATTTGTAAGTACACCTTAAGCTCACGCTGTTTTTCCCAACAAAAGAAGGGGAGTATTATGTCTAAGTTATCTGATTACATTTCTATTTACTTTCAATGTAAAATATCAAAAAGTAACAGCAAAACCAGTACAATAAACCTACCTGAAATCGGCCTTCTTCAAGTGAAACCCAATACAATATAAGGCCGGTGTTGAGATAGGCGCGCCTTTTGTTACTCGCTGTACAGCACAGAATAATCTCCTGTTTTACTGACCCTTAATGTATTGTAACAAGTCAGGTGACTTTTTTGGTATCTCAGGATAAAAACACATTAGTTTTATGAGGTTTTTCACACCATCTGCCGATGACTCGTAAGCTTCATAATTGACAAGATGACCAGTTGTCAAATTACTTCTGTAAATTGGCGATTTCTTTTTTCTTTTTCGGTTTTTATTAACTTGAACAGTAAGATTCTTAGAAGAAGAATTTTTTAATTTTTTTTAATTCTTATTGTTAGTCCAAGAGACTTTTGGGCGAAATAGACTCTAAGAAAGAAAAAAATTAATATAAGCTTCAAAAACTAGTAATCTTCTGGCACTGAATGCGGCCTGTTAATTTTATAATGTCAGTCTTTGAGCCCATTTTTACTGCGTTTCCTTGTGATCTGTAACACGGACACTTCAGCAGCTGTCAGGTGGAAAATATTCCTATAAGCGAGCTATAAATAGCTCGTAAACTCGTTTCCTTTGGCAAATTCGCAAGCCAATGTCTAAACAAAAAGTATTAATCAACTTGGGTGGAGTAAAGTGACTTAAAATCTTAGTTTTATCATTGGTTGTCGGAGTTGTATTTTATCAAAAGATGCAATCAGTGCCACAAGAAGTCTATTTTTTTTACCTGAACGTTTGACAGGCCGTTTTTCTCTTTTGGCAGTAATTACATTTCTTAAGAAAAATTACTTTGTCATTTTAGGCGTAATTATGGTTCTGTGTTAAATAATTTCTTTTCTGAGGCAATTTTGGATCATTACGGGCAATTTACCAGTTCCAATGTAATTTACTGGGGAATACTTGCATTAAAAATGTCGTTTAGAACTTTTCCTTGGCCTTATGCCGCATAGATCAAGTAATTAAGCAGACTGTACCAAGGTGGGATATGTAGTTTGAAACCTTGTGTTTTTTGAAGCGGGTAAGGACACAATTTAACCGAAATGTTAGCGCGTTTATTCAAGGTAATTTTTACTAATAATAAGAAACAAATGCAAAAATGACACAAAACTGTAATTCACCTAGCGAAACTACGGTAGTGATAAAAACATATAACAAGGAAAGGTGCCAAAAGGGTCTCGCCCGCTAAGCCATGCATGTTTGGTTGGATGAAGTTCGGTGATTGGTTAAAACGACAACTTCTAATTTGGTAGGAAACAAGTCACGTGTTTTACAACCGTGCAGCCGATGTCGTCACAAAAAAGGGCCGAAAGTGTTTGACTAAGAACTACGTCCGCTAGCAATATCCGGATATATTTCATTCGTCAACCCGAGCCTTCTCTTTGTTGTTCAACATAACAACAAGAAAAGAATTTTGGTCGTGGTCTGAAGATGAAAAGCTCACTTTTAAAGGAAGTATAACTTATACGAACACAGTTTACAGAAACAATATTTCTTCAAGAATGGGAAAATATGGTCTTAATGTTTCCTCCGTTCCTGTAATGAGATAATTTTGACTTGATATTTACACACGTCCGTAGCGTCCCTAGGTTGATGAGCTGTCATGATGTTGACAAAAACTGCCAAGACGACGGAAAATGGTGAAACGACAGCATTAGAAACACTTCATTGCGCTCATGACTATGCAACAAAGTTAAGCGTGCTCTGAATAACTGTAAGATTGTCCACGAACAACCATAGGCGTACGAACACCCTCGGACTTGGGCGGGGGCGGTGACCTTCTTGCCCGAAAAAATTACGCAATGTCCGAATGTGTGAGAGTAGACATCGGAATGCAAACGCACTCAAATTGCATAAAAAGACAAAAACGTTCACAATTCTCACATCTAATGAAACTGCTATAATTCCAAAGATAGGTATATTGAAAGCTTGCATACTCAATGACCTCAATTAACAGTCTCAATTTTTGTCCGATTTTTTGCCAATTTTTGCCCGAAAAATTACATAATTTCCGTAGCTGGGGTCTGAGCCCCCCTCCCCGCCCCCAGCTCGTACGGCTACGCGAACAACCACACAAGATATATACTTATCGTCTTGCAGCTGATCACGTTTTTTGTATTTACCCAAGATTTCTCAAATCAAGCATTGGCGATGTGATTTGTTGACTTAGTAGAAGGGCCGAACTTTCCAGTTAAAAACATTTCTTCCGGCCCTCCCACTTAGAAAATAACTGACTGTATTATATGACTGAGAAAATTACTTCATTGTGATTGGCTTAGAGCAGGCCAACTTATCGTCAATATTTAATTTGCAATGCAGTGCGAATTAACGCGCACGCGTTCGCAGTTTTCTCAGTCATATGATAAATGAGTAATCGTATGAAAGCTCGAGCAATTAAGGATTTACACTACTCGTGATATTTGAAAATTTTTTAAAATTGCTCTCGCCTGAAGGATCGTGCAATCTTGAGAGAATTTTCAAATATCATTCGTAGTGTAAATCCTTCATTGCACTCGCATTCATACGATTATCTATACTAATCTCCTTGCCAGTGTGCAATATCTTTTTTTATTATAACTTCAGCTGCGTGATCTTTACAAGCGTCACTTTGCTACCTTAATTGAAAACACTCAGTCTTTCACATATTAAGATTTTTAGCTTCTTATAACTTTTGATGAAACTCAATACGATTATCAGTTGAATAAGGCGCGACGGAAGTTTGGTAACCGAGTTTTAACGTTAAAATCGTGTTGTTGTCACGGGCAACTGTCTCCATTTCTAGTGGCAACTTGCTGGTCTTTGACGTCACAGTAAAGCGCGCGAAATTAAAGGCGACGGGCGCACGGCTGTTAATATTGTTACCATTGGAAACGAGGAAAGTTGCCCGTGGCAACACCGTAATTTTTTGTCCAAAATCTCGTCACCAAAGTACTCAACTGATAATCATGGTAACAGTGCCAAAGCACTGACTTGGTCCACAAAAAATATCTGTGTTGCACCACTGAAGATAATTTTTGGAAACCGTCATCATCGAAAATCAATAGAGAATAAGAAAGACAAGTGCCAAATTTCTGATTACATCCGTGACCCGCGACTCCACGCACGCCCTTACGCAGAAAACAGTTCTATGTGCTTGTATGATAGGTCCGGTTTTTACAGAATAACATTAGTTGGTCCGGAAAAAGCCCAAAAGCCTGTCAGCCTAGCCCTGGTGTCTCACTATATGTCTAACATCCGTATAACACCTGCTGACTGTTTTTTTTTTCAAATAGTCTCAAGGGAAACCAAGTTTGGATCGAGTCACGGTCGAAGGGTTTCTCAACTCCCTCATGCGTCGTACTTACACACTCTGTCTGTTTCGCGGCCGTTACCTGGGTCGCTGCGAAGCCGACCACATACATGGAAAAATGAGTAATGGGCTGTTTAGTACGTTGGTGGTTTCTTAACATTAAGATCTCGATAGGCACACCTTGGAAGCCACTCGATTGGCAGGCTTGGATTGTTCAAGAGGAAATAAAATGGGGCTGAAGGGAAGATAGTTCATGCAGACCTGCCAACTCTCCCGGTTTTCCCGGGAGTCTCCAAGTTTTTCATCAAATCTCCCGGTCTCCCGGTTAGAGCACCAAATCTCCCGGGAACTACCTACTGTGGCTCTTGTTAATTTTTTTTTTCATTAATTTTGTTATTTTCAAGACGTCGGGAACGTTCGGAAGGCCTTTGGGTGATTGTCGGAGAGTATTCAGACATTGTCGACAATTATATTCTTACAATGCAAAGATTTCTAGCCGTCTCCAGGTTTTTGTACTCTGGGAGTTGGTAGGTAGGTTCATGGATTAACCACAACCTGTCTAAACCGTCCTAAACCATAAAGGCACGTTGCCCAGTTCCTAGGCCTCGATATTTCGTCGCGGTCAATCGTGTAGGGTCACGTGGTCGGAGTGGCCTCT